ATATATACGCCTTCAATCACTATTCATTCACCCACCTCTCCATTCCCCTTCTTTATTGGTTTATCCCTCTACTCTGCACGGTGAAAGCGCAGGGATACAAGGAAAATAGCAGAGGAAGCTGCAATAGCAGCATTTCGCCCAGAGCAGAAACGCATTCTTTGCAAAAAAAAAAAAAAAAAAAAAATGATTGTGTTAAACGTTTTGGGGTTACAAATACGTATGCTTTCTTTTTTTTTTAATGTTTTGGGGGAAAAAGAAAATAATAATTGTTTCTTTTTCACTCTTACAGTCTGTAAACAAAACGTAAGTTTCTGAAAGTCCACCCATCAACCCACAACTCTCTCAGAGCTGTGAGCGGGAAGAGTACTAAAGAAAAAAAGTGGGGCTTTTTTCTCAGCACTCTCTCCCCATTTCGTCAGTTCTTAATAATGTTTTTTTTTTTTTCAGGAATATAAATGTTTTTTTTTTTCCTTTTTTTTTTGGTAAATATCAGTGAGAGAGATTTATTATACATGTTGGGGGTTCGGATTTGTGAAGGATAAATGCAAGTTTTTTTTTTTTTTTTTTTTTTATGGTGGAAGTAAAGCAAAAATAATTTTTTTTTATTGTTTTTCTTTATTCAGTTCGATATTTCTCTTTCAATATGCTTTGCATTTTTTTCGCCATCCTCGCTGTACAACAGTGTGGACCATTATTTTTTATTGCTGTGGATTCTTTATTATTATTATTATTATTATTATCACTTTTTTTTTTTCTTCTTCTTTCCTTTTCTCTCTCCCTGTCTCTTTGTGTGTGTGTTGTATGTTGATGTGTTTGGATGTGCAGAGGTGTAACCTCGAAGACGTGTTGTCTGCGGGAGTAACAGGAACATCTGGAATTACTCTTCGCGGTTACTGCCGTCCTGCAAAGTAATACTAACATCCTATAGTAATAACTATATATATATATATATAGTTTCGAAAAAGCTCAATTAAAGGAATCCAAATAAGCGAAAAAGGCGAGAATTGAGAGGTAGGGATCCATCACATCTAATTTTACACGTATATATATATATATATATCTGAGTGTGTGTTTGTGTGTGATTGTTTAGAATTCTCAAGATGAGTGGGGGTACTACAAACAGCAAAGGAGGAGGAGGAGGTGGTAGTGGTAGTAATCCAACTACTAATACTGCTAATACTACTACTACTACTAATGCTAATAGTAGTAATGGTGGTGGCGGTATTCTGGCTACTAGTTTTCCGGATCTCATTGGCCCATCATTGCCGTGGCGCTATCGTGAGCGGCGGCCAGTGGGGCGGGGTGCCTGTAGTACTGTATGGACACTCATTGATAACACCACAGAAAAGATTGTGGTTGGCAAACTCTCAGATCTTGCACTTATGAGTGAAACCAATAAAAACTTTTCCCGTACAGAGGCTGTTAACATTTCCATGTGTGAACATCCCAATATTATTAAACTCCTTGATACATACGAGCGAAATGATAAACTACTGCATATTCTGGAATACGCTGATGCAGGGGACTTGATGACGCAGGTAGAAGTACGTGGTAATCACTTCACACAGAATAATAATAATAATAATAATAATAATAATAATAATAATAATAATAATAATAACGGCAATGGCTCTCATAGTAATGGAAGATTATCCAATGTTGACAGAGAAAACTCACGATATACGCCGTGTTATTATCAAGAAAAGGAAATTCTCGTCATTATGGCCCAACTGTGTCTTGCCGTCAAATATATTCATGATAAAAAGATCATGCATCGTGATCTCAAAACACCTAATGTCCTTCTTACCAAAAGTGGATTAATTAAACTTGGTGATTTTGGGTTTTCACGTCAATACGATCAAAGTCTCTCTGCAGATGTGGGACGAACTTTCTGTGGAACTCCCTATTATCTTTCCCCGGAGTTGTGGCGTCGTGAGAGTTACAGCTATAAGGCAGATATCTGGTCACTTGGGGTGATTCTCTATGAATTAATGACACTGCGTAAACCCTTTTCCTCTACAGATATGATGGATCTCATGCAGCGGGTTCTCACGGAGGGTAGTTACGATCCCCTGCCCACAGATCGTTACAGTCGTGGTTTGTGTGATTTGTGTGGTGCGATGTTGCGGGTGGATCCACATGCGCGTTTGAGTATTACGGAGGTACTCGCCACGCCTGTGCTGCGGGAGGAGGGACTGCAGTTTTTGAAAACAAATGTGCCGCGGCTGCGGGGGGTGGATCAGGCGGTGCGGGATCGATTGGTGTGGGAGGTGGAATGGGTGCAGCGGGGATGCAGCTCAGGCACACCGCCGCCTCCTCTCAGTAGTATTACTAATAATAATAATAATAATAATAATAATAATAATAATAATAATAATAATAATAATAATAATAGTATTAATAATAATAGTATTAATAGTAATAGTAATAGTAATGCTGAGAATCACCACAACTATCATCATCATCATCATAAGAGGGAAGATAGCAGTGAGATGACACGGTAGTGGAGTGGAGAATGTAGAAAAAACAAGCAGCAAGGAATAAAGAAAAAAAAAGAAAAATAAAAAGAAAATATATATAAAGGAGAAAGAAGGAGAAATGAAGAAAAAAAAAGCTAAAAAGGAAAAAAAAAAACTGGATACTGCATATATATATGCTTGATCAGGTAATCTGATATTAAAAAGAAAAAAAAACCCGAAACAAAAGAGAGATAAAAGGAAAATGCATCCAGTAGATGAAGAAATAGAAGAAAAAAAAACCCTTACGGGAGGGGGAAATACCAGAATTCGGATAAACCCCTAGGTAAGGCAGAAGGAAATAAAAAAAAAAAA